TACCACTTCACCAAAGTCCACATGGATGCAAACTTAGGGTAAGAGTGGAAACAGGACCCAAAATGGGCGGGGCGAAGGAGAATGCAGAGAATATGGGACACACTACGCACTGAAGCCCTTCAACATGAATGAGCTTTTGAAGGACAGAAGTGCAAGTACTGGACAGAGCCCATGTTGGTATGAGACAGACAATCTGTGAAAGAGTTGAGCTCCTCTGCTTTCTTCCTCCTGCTATCGACACCGCTGAGTCAGGAAGAACCAATAAAAACCAGAAGAATCTTAGTGTAAATTCCCACTACATGTTCACAGCACATCAATCAATCACATTTTATTTGTACAGCACATTTCAGCAACAAGGCATTTCAAATGTTTTACATCATAAAAACAAGATACAGTCAACAATTGAGAAAACCTGTAATAAATACTATATTTTGTCGAGTGCCATCATCAATTCATTGAAGCTGAATGTCGATTTGATTCTGGGGATGCAGAGCAAACCAGAACAAGAAGATCTGAGTGGTTTGGAACAAAAACATTTTATGACATTTGTGATGCCACCTCCACTTTACATGGAGGGATTCGTCCCTTTATATTAATTGTTCTTTATTTTTAAGGCACACCGGAAGTAGTGGCATCCAGGACCTGCTTGGGCGCAGCGTTTCCTGGCAATTTTAAAACCATGTGAGTGGAGCTGGTGGAGCTACGTTGAAGCTCCAACCAGCGCCGCTTTTCAGTTTGGCTCTTGCCTGTCTTGCCTGCCCACCCCGATTTTGATTTCTTTGATTTTCTTTAGCAGGACTCTGCTGCTCAGACCACCGGCTTTTTGGCAATGCCAGTGGCCACAGGTGCTGCATGCTTTTTTACTTTAATATTCCTTTTTTGTTTCATGTTTGGTGCTCAATAATGAGCCTACTTATTGTGGAAGTCTGTGTCTCCGTTTTTTTTTTTGTTACGGCTCAATGAGCCTCGTTACTTTTACATTAAGAAAGCAACAAGGGATAAAGACAAAACATGTTATTGTATAAAATACTTTTTGTATTTTGTAATTGTATATAATAGACAACAAATAATAGAGACGAGAACAGTCAACTAACAACGTTAAGACCTAGTGGGTCAAAAACCACTAATGGGTGGGTGAAGGGGGAGGCTGTAAATGTGAAAAAGGATAAAGAGTAATTTATCCAAGCCTCATTGTTGATTTCCAGTCATTAGTTTTGGTAAAACTCTGACATAGCAATTTTAACCAATTCTGATTTCTCCTTCTCATATTTGTTCCTATTGTTCCTGGTGTAATTATTTAAGCCAAGGTGATGTCACACTGTGTGTGTGACGGAGGATTACAACAAGGTTTTCCATCTTCAAGACAAAATTATTTGGAACATATGCGTTAAATTAGTGATTAGCACAATAACCTCACTTACCAATAATTAAAGTAAACACCAGTCTTCATGTCCATTCCCTGACACATACAGATCAGTACTTCAACTGAGAAAACATTTCCTTTCTAAATCCAAAATATTGCTGTGACTCACATTTTACCTTTGAAAAAGAAAATGTACATGTTAACATGCTGTGATCTTTGTGTACTTGAAACAAAATGGCAAGGAAGCAAAATGGCCATGCTCCTACAGAGACAAGCGCCTTTTTGTTGCCAAGTAAATAAACAACTGAGATGTGTGATAATAGTTTCCTTTTAAGTAGGCTTCCTGATCTTATTTTGAAATGCCTTACTGCTAAAGAGAGCAGTGGACTTTGAGTTTTCTTGACACAACAAGAACTTCCACAGCAAAACGTGTCACGATCAGGTTATCCTGATCGTGACATGGTGTATGCATTGATTTTTGACTTTCTTACCGTTCTCTTGTCAGGGCTGGTCAGGGCTCTTTGCATTACTAAAGATGGATGGTATGCATGAAAACAAGCTTGAAATCAATATAATTAATGAGCAATAACAATGATTAGATTTGGGGAGTGGTTAAGTTTTAATTTATTTCACACAGTCTGGTGTTCTTTGTTGCCTTGTGTTGACCCTAATCATTACCTTTACATGTCCATTTTCTTCTTTGATAGTTGAGTATTTTTTTGAAGGTTTCATCAGCTCTGGCAGCCATTAGTTGAGAGTGGTCAGACAGAAAGGTGACTTGTGAGACAGAAGGAAGACATATGGCAAAGGTCATCAGTCCAGGACTCAAACCCATGACAGTCATGTTGAGGACCAGGCTGGTCATTACAAGAAACCGTTTATCTGCCGTCATTGGTAACTATGGTAACTAGACTGAGCATTCACAGTTTGAATCTGCACAGCTTTGTGCTATGCTAGCTGCAGCACAGCACAAATCGAGGGGGAGGAAGGATGAGCAGCACCACATGAGATTGTGATTGACAACACTAAAACTCTCCTGCCACTGACTGGTTGTTTCTAGAGAACCCTGGGAGAAAGCAGCGGAAATAGATTTTTCACAGATTACCTCTCATACCATACTGTCACAACATAATGACAGTTTTAAAAAATATGTGGAAAAAATATTTATGTAAAAGTTACATACAGCAGCTTTAATTTCACTCAGCAGAGGATGGGTCAGGTGGGACGTGGATTAGAGCTGCTGCTGACTGACTCACCTGTTGTTAAGTGCGCTCTTAGAAATGGCTGTAAATTTACAGTGGAATTCCAGCAGTAACATAGTGTTTTTCCGAAATACGGTAGGATATTGTCAATTTGATGTCTTCTTCTGTTGTCACAATCAAGACTGACGACTGGCAGTAAACTACCGCAAAATGATTGTACAATATAGTGTTTTTCCTAGGCAAGACATTTTACTTGTATTTGCATCTTAGAGAACCAGCATTTAAAGACAATACTAAATGGAAAGACAAAAATACTTTCCATAATAAATCTTTTAGGGAATGAATCGAAATCTACAGAGCATAATCAAAAGTGTTAAATTACCAGTGTTGGCGTTGTATGTTAAAAATACAATGTTAATTAAACACTTGTTTAGTCAAATTCAAAGATAGGTTTGTCAGTTTCCCTAAAGAAATGGTGTTTGCTAAAGAGTTGCTCCCACAATCGCCACGTATCTGTGACGTCACGTGTTTGCCCTGGAGACAGCAGTATGGCGTCTTGTCTGGATCTTCTCATAACAAGGTAAGTTCCCCAAAGCTTTAAAACATGCTCTTTTTGTTCTCTCTTTAATGTATTTATGTAATGTAATGGTGATGTACTGTCTCAATGTTTGTAACTCCCTGGCGGACATTATACCACAATGTATGCTGCATTTATACTGTTATGTATTCTGTATCTCAATAATGATCTATTAAAACAAAAAGAAAAAAAACAAACAAAAAAAAAACAAGGTAAGTTCCATGTTAAGATCATCATGTTTTTGATTTTGATTATTTTTTATGAATGCTTTAACTTTCTGTTTGCACAAGAGTATCAACTTATGCTTATCGTAAGTTTATTTGTTTGGATATCGCGGTACGACTGTTCAGTACAGGGGATCTCAAGTCCAGTCCTTCAGAGCTGCTATCCTGCAACTTTCAGATGCTTCCCTGCGCCATTTAACACACCTGAATCAAATGAATGGGTGGTTAGCAGGTCTGTTCAGAGCTGATCCTGGTCTGTTGGAGTAAAGATGCATCGAAAAGATGCAGGAAGGTAGCTCTCGAAGACTGTATGTGAGCACCCTTGGTTATTATTTTTGTTAGCAGCTAAAGCTAGCCAAGCAGGTGTAGCAGGGGGTGTCGGGTGGTTAAACGAACATTAAAACTGTCAGAAAGGCCGTTTGAGTTAACATTATTTAGCTGCGGAGTCGTTTTCTTGAAGTTTTCGGCTATAGACGGCATAATGGGGAGAGTGGCTGTGCTGGACCGGTGGTTTGATCTATGCGATCAAAGCTAAGCCAAAATGTTTTTGTCTCTATAAATAATAAATAATGACATTGACTGCCTCGTTTTTCTTCATTAGTACGTCATGTTGGTGACTGAAGCCTGTTATGATGACTTCAACACATTTCTTCTGACAGGTTGGTAGAAGAAATCCTCTCCAGAATGTTTCTATAAGCTGACTAATTTCTATAATGCCTAATGTCTGAGTTGTGTTCATGGTAATTATTTCTGACATTTTTATGCTTTATGTTGTAGGTGGTGAAAAATGCTCTCCAGGGTAAACCGGGTGGACAAAGTATTTTGAATGACTGTGATGGTGACACACACACACAGGTGGGTCTGGTTAGTTTTGCTCACACTTCTCTTTAAAATGTTTATTTATTATCCTAATGTGTCTGCTATTTATCCTGTTGTTCCTCCAGGCTGGGAAAACCAGGCATTCTTCTGTTGGTTCATGTGCTTCGTCCTACATCCACGGGCCGCAAGAAGAATCCAAAACAGCTCATGTCAAACTGTGGACCATATTTTCAGATATGTGCAGGTATGTGGTTATTCTAATGATCCTACTTCTTTGTAGAAGCAGTTTCTCATTGGCTTTGTTTGCCATCTGAATGTAGCTGTGCTACTAAATATATTTAATAATTTTTATTATTCGTCTTCTTATCATTATGTCAAAGATGCAAGCCTGTGTTGAAGCCTTCCTCATTGCTGTGCAACCAGGACAGCCCTTCCTCCTGCATGTTGGTGAAAACAAGAGCAGCACCAAAGACACTTCACCATCAGTGATCCCAAGGTCATCCAAGGTAGCCTTTGATGAACTTTCAAAGCACACTTCACCTTCAGTGCAAATTACCATGAATTCCTCTATAACTTCTGTAAATTAATCCAGCCTACAGTTTTCAACATTCATGTGACTTGCACGGCAATTGAGGAGTTTAAGATCCTTGCTTTTACTTTACCTGGCAGAGTGGACACTCTTTATTATGATGATCATTTAAATGCATACTCTATCAATAAGAGGATTTGTTTTGTGTCCTTCCAATTAAGGACTTGGTTTATTACAGTCCCTGTGGCAAGCAGTGTTCTGCACGGTCAGCATTGAAGGCCATATTGTCTTTGAGAGGGCCCAGCCAACATTCCAGACAGGACAGTGTTATCCATCTTCTACATCTTCAACCTCCAATATCAACATGAGGCAGCCAAGACTTTGGAGTTCATTCAACGGTAAAACCATTCATATATATATTTTTTTACAATGTCATGGTTTTAAAGTTCTAAAGCAAGTTATGATTAACATTTGACAAAGGTGGTGATGTTTTCTCTATATGTAATTAAAAACATCTTTATTTATATATTGTACCAGCTGTATTCAGAATGCCACACTATATTCTCAGGAATTTTCCCATTTTTGATTTTGTTTTTTAGTCGCTTCATTGGGATTAACCCAGAAAGGGGCACAAAAGCCGGTCATGGGAAGATGGTATCCAAAAAGACAGGAAAGACCATTCAAAAGAAAAAGTGACGGTCAATGTTCAGGTTTCCACCCTCATCAAAAACCTGATGGACTTTGAGTGGCATCTCATTCAGGTTAGGTATTAATGTTCTATCGTAAAACTAAGACTGTACTTTAAAAAGTAGCATTACAGTTTTCTTTGCAGTAGCTTACTCATAAAGTGAATGCAGTAGTAAAACTAAATTTACAGTAAAAATACTGGAACCTACAGACGCCACTATTTAAAGGTATATTTACTTTCACCACTGTATTTTACGGTGGCCAACAGGTACAAACACCCAGCAAAGACGAGAAAAACACATGCAACAAAAAAGAGATGCAAACAAAAAATGCTGAAAACAGAAGTGATCCAGACCACTAGGGGGAGTCGAACAAAGAACAGCTGTGTCCGAAGTCAGGTTTTGCATC